GTGTGTGTGTGTGTGTGTGTGTGTGTGTGTGTGTGTTTATAGAGGCCGATATGTGTGAAATAAGCCGAGGTTAAGCGTGTGCGAGAACTCTCCAAAGCAAGTAAGCATAATCTTATATATATGATAATTTCTTATTAGCCCATTTCTTATTAGTAATAAAGACAAGACCTTAAACAAGGTTAAGCATCTCTTGTAGCACTTTTTTACTTTTCTTTAATCTATATTTCTTATTCATCATCTTATTCACCGTCTTATTCACTACTTTGTTCACTGTTTTTCTGTCCTATTTCCTTTTACATTTGTGGGCAAAAGAAAACATAAATCATGACATAGAACGTTTATATAAGACCAATGATAATGTACATTTGAGTACAGAGGATATTAACACAAATGCTAAAACATGTAATATCAACACGCGTTAGATATTAACAGATAATAAAACATGAAAATTAGGCTATGAACCCCTCTCCGAAACCACTGAAGACCATTTCGGGGGTTCAATTGAACACTACTAAACGGGGCACAGACCAACAGCTTCCCTTGTTAAGCAAAATATATATTAAAATGCGTTTAGTATTTAAGTGATAAAATGCTATGAGATAAACATTTGCTTAAAATGTATGAATATAGTTAACGAAAGATCCAAAAGAAATATGCAAAATACTTGATAATAGAATAAGAAACGATATTCAAATCATTAAGATTTGAAAATATAAATTCATCAAGTGTATTGGCATAAAATGGATCTGCAAATCGAAAAAAAAATGCAGAAATAAAAAGGTTCTCCAATATCATCATTTATATCATCTTTCGGGTGATATCTAATGACGCCAGATAAGAAGTACATTTACTATAGTACACCAGAATGCGATTCAGTGGCAGATGTTCGTAGCAGAGTTGACACTTTCTGGGCATCCTCCTCCTCCTCCGCGAGATAAGCTCGGCGTTTCTTGGGCCTCCGGTGTCGTGCAGGAGGCCGGAGATTTCGTCGTGTGGTAGAGGAAGATTCCGAGGACAACTAAGCGATATAAAAAATAACGAGACCTGCTGCACACTTAATCCCTACAATGCAGATTGTAACATGATGAGACATTAATTTAGCCGTGTAGCACAGAGGTAAAACTTCTTACTCGAAGACAACAGAAAATTCAAATAGTTTCATTTTGTACATTATATAGTAAACACTCAGAGGTGAAGCACACGACCAGCAATTACCTTTTTTTCTCTTTTATATCGAGTGGCATAATATTGCCTCTCTGCATACGTGTCGACCTGAGTGACCTCTGACCTCGAGTGGGATAGTTTTCTTTCGCGAATTCCTTGCGAATCGTAAATACGAGCAAGGAAAACATGCACAGAAAAAGAACAAACATATCACCTGCTCTCTAGAATCACTTTCCGATTCTTTCTTGTATTGTGCAGAAGCATACCGACTTTATTATTAAATTTTCTTTCCTATTTTTTGTTTATGTTGTTTTTTGTTTATAGAGATTTATGATGTTACCTTTAGATTATCATTCAGGGGAGTGAGAAAACAAAGAAATAAAAGGGGGGGAATAGAGGGAGGAAGGGTGACAGAGTGAGAGAGTGACTAAGTGAAAGACAGCGAGGGGGGAGGAGAGACGGACAGGAGAGATAGAGAGAGAGAGAGAGAAGAGAGAGAGAGAGAGAGAGAGAGAGAGAGAGAGAGGAGAGAGAGAGAGAGAGAGAGAGAGAGAGAGAAGAGAGAGAGAGAGAGAGAGAGAGAGGAGAGAGAGAGAGGAAGAATGAAGAGAAAGAGAGAGGGAAGGATGAAGGGAGAAAGGGGGGAGGGTGGAGAGAGGGAGGGAGGGAGAGAGAGAGGAAAAAGAGTATCCCGAGTAGTCATGTTGATGTATTGCACTAGTTTCAAAACATTTTGTTGAAAATCACAATGAAAATTTGAACACGGATAGGTTGAAATATAGCATTGCGCATGTCCCTATTCCATCCTAGCAGGTGTCTAGTGCGCCAAAACTTCTGAAGATGGCTGGAAATATTTGATGGGAGATCTACTTCAGAGCAGTTTACCGCTATGAGTGTTTGGTAATTTAATCTACCATCTGGATAACCAATGCGTTATGGAGAATTAAAGGTGCTTGTAGTATATTGGAGAATAAAAGACTACAATGCGTCTATTTTTCTCTACATTACAAGGGAGAGTGATCCACCATTTAGGACCATTTAGAGAGTGATGCACCATTTAGATTATAAGAGGGAAGGATGTTGTTATTGAATTCATCAAATAAACTAAACATACCTGCACTCTACCTTGAAAAGGTAACATATTTCTCACATATCCACAAATATGCATATATCCGTCGTTTAGATAACTGTACAATTATATATCAGTCGAAGATGTATCTGGTTGAATTTTAGGACTGAAAAAAACTACAAGAAGAAATACTCATATTCCTAATTTGATTTTTTCTATAATAATTAACGTTTGCTGCAGTTACGTAACACAGCCATGCTATTGCTTGTTTTCAGTCGCACCTAACCTTCTCTTAGGCTTCTTCAAAAGAAGTTGTTAACAAATGTCTACGTCGTTTGTATTGCTTACCTGAGCACTTCAGAATATTGGTATTATACTCGTAACAATTGATTTTACAGGAGTTTCAGATTGACAGAAAAGACCTAACGGTATATTCTAAGAAACGTGAGTTCATTGTATGTGCTTCCTTCTACTATACCCAGTTAACCGGCTACATGTCCATCCCACCTCCATCTGGTTTGTGAGACACACCAGAAGAGAACTGTAGAAGTGCTGTAGGAATATCGTAGGAAAAGGCATATTTGGAGAGGCCAAGTTACACCTGTCGAACAAGGTTTAATATATCTATGTAGATCTTGCATTGGAATGATTGTGGTAGGTGGTTGTGGAAACGGGACTGAATAGGACGAATATTGAGCTGTGCTTGGGGCAATGGTGCCCTCATATCCGGCAGGAGATTTACAGGGTAAAAACTATGTACGTGTGATTGTTTATATGCGTGTGTTTGTTGTGCTTGTTTGTTTATACTTGCCTATGTTTCTTTATATTCATAAGATATGTTTAATATTTATAATTTCCTTGGCAAGATCTTTTTTTATGTTACAGAGTGTAAACAGAAAACCTAAGTGTCCCCTATCATTTTGACAGTTTTCTGTGAATACTGGGGGGTTTCTTTTTTAAATTTTGAGGAGGGACACTTCTATATTTCATAAAGTTCATATACATTATGTAATTGGTTGAATATTGCAAGGAAAGAAATTACAGAACTCGAATACAGTGCTGAATATTTGAAACACAACTGATTACGACGTAACGATAATCATTAATTCCCCCCTGAAATATAATTAATGCAAAAGGTTCCCCTAAAATATTAGTTCGCTAGGTCGAAGCATTTTAAATGTGTATATGTGTGTGTGACACACACACACACACACACACACACACACACACACACACACACACACACACACACACACACACACACACACACACACACACGTGCATACACATACACATACACATACACACACACACATACACATACACATACACATACACACACACACACACACACACACACACACACACACACACACACACACACACACACACACACACACACACACACACACACACACACACACACACACACACACAGTACACACACACACACACACACACACACACACACATACACATACACATACACATACACACACACACACACACACACACACACACACACACACACACACACACACACACACACACACACACACATGTATAATATATGTATACGTATATGTGTGTATTTATCAATATGTATATGTGTGTATATATGAATGTATGTATGTATGTATATATGGGTCATTCCATGTCAGTTCACCCCCTAAAAAACACATTTTAAACCTCACTCCCCCAAATTTTATTCTTTCACTTTTTGCGAAAAGGGTGGCCGACAAATTTCAGTCCTATAACTCTGTAACCACTGGTCCGATTTTCAAAAATTAAGTATATTTGTATAGGGGAATCACAGAGAATAACAATATGACATTTATTTTATCTTTTGGGTGATTTTTTGTTCCAGAACCTTTTGACCTATATTTTGAACTTGAATTCGACTATTGGACAATTGACTTATGAATATATTTATCATATATATATATATATATATATATATATATATATATATATATATATATATATATATATATATATATATATTACTCCAGGACCAATAACATGCAAGAATAAATTAGCTTCAACTGGAAAACATCTTTTGAATTAATATTTGTCAATTGCACATTTCATCTATGAATTTCATATTCAATCAATGCTATGTTGTTTTCTCATTTCAATTTGCTTAGACAGCAATTGAAAATGCAAGAGTATGAGAGGCAAATATTGTAGACAGTGCACAAAAGTAATGGGAAGGTGTGTAAGTGTCTGTTTCATTAATAATTTCTGGTTGCTAGTACTTTCAAAGAATGACACCCTAATTTCATAATTTTGGTCCTAGACACAGAATTTGTTTCAAAATCAATATTCAAATTGAAGTAAATTCTCAGTGCTTTAAAGAATTGCAATTGCCAAATTTCAGGTGTGCTGTGATATTATCATTTCTGACTTAAGATCTTTCTGATTCAGTAATATCCCTTAAAACACTGTATATAGTGTTACTTGAAAATATAGAGCACAGACCTGATTTTCAAGTTTTTGTGAAAATGCATAAAGAAAAATTGTGACTTTCCAATTGAAAAAAAACATAACAGGAGAGTTGGGGACTTGTAGACTGGGGCACAGCAAAACAGGACTAAGTCATCAGCTGTCAATACATTTTTTATGGGAAATATTCATAGAAAGCATTCCTTTGCTGCAGGTCATAAATTCTGTAATACTAAAACTGAATAACAGAATTAATTTGAAAAACAAAGATCACAGAAGCAAAATAATTACAGTTGGGAGGTTTTAAAAGGAAAAACACTTCTATATTTGAATAAGTGTGTTTATACCTCAATATACAACTGGATGTGCAGAAGGGTTAGTATTCACAAAAAGAATAACATACAAGAATAAATATTTTTGTACAACACTTAGCAGGCATCACCATCTTAAGTAATTCCATGTAACCACTTATCAAATGAGAAGATATTCAAGCTGCTCGCTTTCAGAAAACAATGAGAATAATTGAGCATTTTTTCTGTAGTTTGGTTTCATTTTTTGGTATATCTACTCTTCTGGCAATGGCTGGAAAAATACTGTATGGTTTTGTAGACCCGTGTATTTCATATTTGCCATAGAAGACGGGATGAAATACTGTACACCAATATTTGGTACCTAGCAATCACTTTAACATTATCTTATCAATATACCTTATGCTATTATAATACATTTGTAATATGTCATTCACTGCTAAAACATAAGAAATTAAAAAATATATATTTTTGAATCTTGCAAAAGAAAATCCATGGGAAAGATTAAAGTAAACCAACAAATAATGTTGATAGGAAATAAAGATTACCATTATCCTACACAGTCTTGAAAACAAAAAAATGAAATTATTTAGGACCCATGAGTTGTTATAATGGGGAACTAGGAATGTAATGTTTTTTTAAAAATGGAAATCGATTATGACATTATAAAATTTATTAAATCCATGTTATATTCATTAATGAAACAATTTCTGATTACTAACTGCAATGGGAACACTTCTGATTCTTCCATATCCAAATTCAGTCAAGTTATTACAGTTTATCCCAAGGTAAATCAAAGAAGTGGGGATATAATAGTTAAAAATTAACCCATGTACAAAAATATGCAAATACTATAAGGAGAATCGGTCTAATTCTGTAGGTAGTAAGTAGTACGGCTAACCCAAAAAGAAATTAATATCATTCCATAAACAATTTCCTAAAGGTAACTAAAAAATATCAAAAGTGGTATCATAATTACTAATGTGACAAATGGAGCTCCTTAAATATGCCATACAAGTACTTCATTTTAACAGGGTAGTGCTGAAGCCACTGAAAAAAGTGTGAACATAAATGCTTCTTTCTTACAAATCTGGAAAATGCCTGCTTAACATAGAATCTGTTGTCGTAAAAAGATGGCCCACAAATATTACATGCAAAATATAGGTCATCTTAGTCTCATAAAACTACTTGTGCTTATACATAATCTAACAACTATTCACTGGTGAAAAAGCATTCATGTGAATGCACAGGTAGTCAGCATGTAATATATTTATATATTTACTTAATGATCTATTAATGTCATTAAATTCAACAGCAACATAATTTGAAATCTTGACTGGTTGGTGTGCATCACTAGAAAAAATAAAGCTAATACTTACAACATCTTAAAATGACCGTGCATAAAAACTACAAAAAAATATGACACATCGTAAAGTTTTTAAATGACTCCTAAACATGTACAAACTCAGATACATCCACTACAATTTCACTATATGTAAGCTAACATGAATTTACTAAT